GCTCTGACTGGGAACTGCAGCAGAGCTTTTCATGCTCTTTTTCCTCTCTCCTCCCTAAAAACTGCAATTTGCAATCCTTCCATCCCATCCATCCATCAATCCTCACCCTTCCTGCTCCACTAAATCCAAGCTTTTGCCCAATGCAATTTTAAGGGAAAACGGCACGAGCGTGATTTAAAATTGAGGTTGAAAAAAAATAAATTTTAAAATCTCTCCTGTTTTTACTTCAGGAGTCTCAAGGAATGTGCCAGCAGCTTCTTCGAGCTTGTCCATGAAATCCTGGGAATAACAGCAGCTCCCCAGAGGGATGCATTGATAAATGGAATAATGCTCAGGGGGATGAAGAGGTTTCTTTCAGCTCCATCAATCAGCTCTGATTGGAAAGGCACAAAGCTGTGGAGCCATTTCAGTATTTCACTCAGAATTACACAAATCCATCACATTTCGGACACATTTTACATCGGGGAGGGGGGAACATGCCGTTTTTTAAAATTTAGTATGGGATTCATTTATTTAAGTGCACAATCTACACAAGTGCTGGAAGACTGTCCAGTGGTAAAAATTATTAGTGAGAAGAGGCAAAAAAAATTCAATTTTTTTCCTTGAAGTTTGTCCTTTCAAAATTGTGAAGATATTCAAAATGGTGAAGTTTTTGGTTGGCTTTCAATTGGTAYAAACCAAATCTCCAATTTAGCTMAACTGATTTCCCTGAATTATCTCARTRTSATGAAAATTGAACAATTTTTAATYRATTCATAAATAYGAAGCCTTCCATTACTCCASTCTGAGTCAACAAGCTAATTATGATTATTTTTATTATTWTTATTATTAGATAATCACTACATTAAATATTTCAATGGCATGCTTTAGAGCACAGACGAGGAGTTAACCCTAATTCTGGTCTAAAAAGAGCAGAGTGACTATTCCAGAGTCAGTGTGGTTAGGAAATGGCAGTTACTGCAATCCTAAAGCCCCTGAGAGGAAAAAGGCACTAAATTAAAAGTTCTGTGTGTTAGAGGAAGACTCTAAAAACACAAAAAGAGAGAGTGAAAGAAATGCAGAGAGCACTTACGTGGGTGAGGGATGCCTGCAGTGTATCCATGGATGGGACACAGACCAAACGAAATAAAAAGATGGACACACACACACAAAAAAAAAAAAAAAATGTAGAAGATGTGAGAAGGGGAGACAGAGAATATGGAGGTGGGAAATCACAATGCCAGGTGTGTCCTGCTCGGAGATCTGGGCAGAAGGTGCCAAAGCCGGGTTTRGGCACAGCTCAGGGACCTCCAGACATGCTCGGGATGGGCTGGGAGTGACAACCCTGGGGTCACAGAGTGCTCTGAGGGGACAATTCCAGCAGAGCCACAGAGCTGGGGGAAGCACAGAGCCAGGGCTGAGTGCAGGAGSAACGGGAAGGAACCAGCAGGGCAGAAATGCTGCTCCCTGCCTGCCCTGCTCACACCTCCCTGCCCACTGCACCTCTGAACCGCTTCTCTTTGTCTCCTTCCCATCCCAAAGAACTCCCCGGTGTTTAATCCTTCCCTGGAACAGAGGGACAGTGCTGGGCACTGCAGGACAGGGGAGATGCCCAGAAATCCCTGTGGAATCCATGGAATGGCCTCAGTGCCCTGATGGACACTGGAATGGCCCTGATGGCCATGGGAATGCCCTCAATCCCTGATGG